CGCTAGTTTCTTACTAAAGTCAGGACACAAAAGGATAAATCAAAGTTCATAATAAATACCATAAGCACAATGTCTTACCTAAGAAAGATACAGTCCCGCAATACAATATCCTCAGCCGAAATCGATGGCGATTTCCTCAGCGGTTAGCGGTTAGACTGGCGCATGCGCAATACGGTATGCCAGTTCTCTTGGGAGTTGTCATTAAAACTCGGATTTTTACGGCAAATTTCGGCACTTGTACAAGTAAAATGTTGAAAATCACAGAAAAATACAATGAAACTTTGGCGAATCAAAAAAATACTTGGCGTGCATATGTATGGCATTGAGAATTACATTTGCACCAACTTGGAAAAAAGCAGAGCATATCAAAGTTATAAGAGGTAAAAGACAGATGAACGAATGAACGGACGGACGGACGGACAGAACCCAATCTATAAGCCTTCGGCAGACTTCGTCTGCGAAGGCTAATAACCACACCCTATCCTAATCTGAAAGTGAATTCCACATAACACAACTCACCTGCTGTGCCCATGAAAGTATTTATTTCACCCAACATAGTTGAAGGTTTTTTAAGTTTTGTAGAACATCCAAAATCACCAAGCTTGACATGACCATCAGAGCACAGAAATATGTTAGCACCTAAACAGACAAAAAAATTCACATTATAAATAACAATATTTAAATTGAACGCGAAGAAAATACCTCCAGTTATGGTGGATAAACATTCCTCTGCAGAAAGAACATGGTGATTATTGCAAAAGAGCATGCATTAACAACAAATAAATATATAACTACAAATAGCCAAATGTGACAGTCAATGTGCAATCCATTGACCCAAAAATGTAGTGAGGTATCTGAGCTCCCACAGATGTTTTCATCCCAATCATCCAGTCATTGGCTGAGGTAACATGAGGGCTATGCCCTCCAGATTGTGTTGAGATGATTGACCAAAAGACTGAAAATAGATTGGAGTGACTATTTTCATCTTCAGATGAGTCAAATGTTGAAATCTCCCTTGTCGGATTGTACTGCATTGATAGGATAGTGTATAACACTATAATATTACTAACATGCACAGATTTACACTGAAACCTTACGAGACATTCAATCGAAGTTAAACTGTAAATAGCTCCCGTGTGAACAGAGCAAGTATTATAAAGGTATAGGCTTTGCATAATACGTGAATGTAGGTCGATCCATACTTTTACCAAATATCAATAAAATTGATCAAGATGTCTGAGAAACTATGACATATACGGAAACACTAGATTTTGATATGGGCATTTTGAAAAAACATGTGAGGACACTATACTTGTAAAGAAAGGGCACTGTGAAAGTTAAGTGCAATAGAGACAAAATCTAAATTAGACAGAGGGTTCTCTGAACCCGTCTATTCACATAGTTCATACCCACCATAGACTCCGGTCAGTCAAAATGACTATTTTGAACTAATCAGTGATTCTTTTCCTTTACATCACAAACCATGTGACGAGGCCATGTGGCAGCACCATTATGGCTGGATATTCACTCTGGTGAATAATCACTCAACACCTTAGTTGAGACCCAAAGAGGGTGGTGTCTTACCTTGACTGTGTTGTCCCTGGAGCAAGAAGCCAAAAATGCTGCTATGGTGACAGGGTTTGATGTGCCCGAGAAAGCTAGACACAAACCATAATTTAGGGGGTAATATGCTTTGAAGTAAAGGCCAAAACAGTTCTGCATGAGGGCATAGGTCGAAAAGTGGGACCTGGAAGCTTCCAGGGAGTGCTGATGTTAGAGAAATCTGTCCACAAAAATGCATCGTCTATATGCAGGGACCCTTGTGGTTGTTGGTTCTGGGTCAGCAATCAAAGTCTGACCCGCTACGGCAGGACCCAATCTAAAAAGACCCTCCTCAATGGATTGGGTGTCTCTAAGGTTGTAGTTGATAAAGACGTTCTGCGTTCTCCAGAAGCTTGCCCTCAATATGTGCTCGAGGGGGCGCCTGACGCTAGCACTAGTGAGTTAGCAAGTGCACAGACCTCATGCGCTCATACTTGGTGTCTTTGCAAGCTGTGTCGAGGAAGTTAAAGTATTATAGACCTCTCATACAGTTGCAGTAATCCACCTGGTGATGGAAGACAGGGAGGCCAGCCTATCTGCCTGCCTGGGCCGTAACACAAAGACATGTGCTTGGCACCCCGTCCTGAATCCTTAGTATGGTTTGGGTAGCAACTCCGTGCACAAACAGGGCAGTGAAGCAATTCCTCCTGACCCTCCAGGCCGGCAAAATTTGACAGCCAGGAGATGACGATCAGGTGAGGATCGTGTCCTGGGATTTGGTTCTTGGTGAGAAACCAGTGAAAAAAAAATCGTGTCTTTAGCACAACTTGATTGTCCATAACGGCGGTACATCGTTCGAGAAGGACAATGCCACCAGCTCTGGCCAACGCCTACCTGAGACGTCAAAATTTTGAATAGTGCTGATCGAAGAGGCTCAAAGGGTGGTCTGCTTAGAGCAGACAACACAACCGACTAATCCTAGTTGGGCAGTTTCCTTGTACAGGGTCTCAGCCACTGATAGGGAAAGCAGTAAATAGTCTCCTAATAATAGGACAATCAACTAGTCTTGTTCCCAAAGCGTGTTCAATGGTGGGGGACAAGACCAACCTGTAGCCAACGATCGCTTCATAGGACAAATCCACTTTGTCAAACAGGTGGACGAAGGAGTCTGCTATCTGGCCAATAGAGCGATGGTATGGATCTATCTCCCTTCTGCTACTCCAATCAGTGTATGCTCGCAACCTAGAAATGTAGGCAGCATTCCCTGTTCACCCTGGCCAGGACGTTGGCAGCCCACTCAGATAAACCTTTTGTATGTCAACTGAGAGCCTCTATGCATGTAAGTGATACCCACTGGGTAAGTCCGAAAGCACTAATGGTGTTTCAACTAGCATTTCCAACAGAAGTAGAAACTAGACCTTGGTTGCTGCATTATGCCTCTGAGGACTCCAGAGTCCTGGGCACGCACAATAAAGCGCTCAAGCAACTCTGCCCTCAGGGCGTGATGGATCACCTCAGACTGAGCTGGCGAGAACGCCCATGGAACGTGGCTGTCCCCCTTTACTCGGTTTGCCAAACGGAAATTTGTGGTACTGGGGCCTGGGGAAGGAGCCATGGAATCCGGTTGGGGCATTTTGGTCTCATCCCACACTTTGGGGTCTGATCCTGAAACCACACCGACCAGGTAGCGTTTGGTCAAGCGGAAAATGTTGCATAAGATTTACTCCACCCGGGTGCCTTAAGCGTTACCTCCTCCGCTGCTGACCAACGTTCGCCCAAAAACACTGTTTGCGCATACTGCGCTCCACTCAGCACTCAGCCGTACAGGGGGAGACGTGCCGACTGGGTTGCTTTGAATCCCAACGCCCATGATCCCATAAGCGTTGAAGCAACGGAAAGTGGTTGCCTTAGGATCAAGGGTGGGGGTATTTACATCGTATCACTAGGATTGATGATACTCTGTATCATCCCAACTGCGTGGCTCACCGAGTCATTACGGATGGAAGACTCTGATGGACCGCCCGAGATACCGGCTGTATCCGACGCGAGTAAACTCTCTCCTTTCAACTTAAATATGTGAGAGAGAGCGTGTTCGAATGTACGTCTCATGACAGGGTCATTTCCCTCTTGGGACGCCCGTGGGTCGGTAAGAAGGGAGTCAAAACCGACAGCAGAGACCGGACTCATTGGTAAAATCCTTGTACCGTTACCGTGCGCCTAACCCTGGCTGCCAGCATCCCTGTTGTCATTCAGTGCCCGAGGTCCCGGAGGAGACCCGGTGCAACTAGCCTGAGCATCGACCTCACCCAAATCAGTGGGAGAGTCACAGCTGGAAACGGGGGGAATGTCTAATGTATGTTATAAGTTTGAACAAAATCCATCCATAAATGCCAGAAATGCTTAATATTTGATGATTTTTTTAGCACAAAAATAGCCACCATTTGGCCACTTTGAAAAGGATCGTCAAACCAATATATCCATATATCTATGACATGATGTATAATGAATATTAAAAATTTGAACATACTCAGTCAAAACAAGTCAGACATAGGGCACAAGAACCTCATTCATTAAAACAAAATGGCCGCCAGTCGGCCATTTTGAAACTAATCTGAAAAACAAAATGATGTGCATCAAGGTCCTATAATGTCTAATGTATATACCAAGTTTGAACAAAATCCATCTGTAAACAGCCAAGAAAATTGATTTTTATGATTTTTAGCACAAAAATGACCGCCATTCGACCATCTTGAATCAGATCGTAAAACAAAATGATGTGCATCAAGGTCCTATAATGTCCAATGTATATACAAGGTTTGAACAAAATCCATCTGTAAACAGCTGGGAAATGCTTGATTTTGATGATTTTTAGCACAAAAATGGCCCCCATTAGGCCATCTTGAATCAGATCGTGAAACAAATTGACGTACATATGTATAATATCATGTATGATGTATGTGTGAAGTTTGATTGTGATTGGTCCAGGCATTTCTAAGATACAGGTCCGGACGCACACACAGACGCACACATGCACGCACAGACACACGGAGGTCAAAAACATAAGTCCCCGTTTTCTGACTGCGTCCGAACGGGGACTAATAATAATGGTCCTAAAATTGAACCCTGTGGAAACGCCATGTCGAATATTGACAGCATCCGACTTTTTATCCATCAAATACACAACTTGCTTTCTGTCAGTTAAATAAGAATAAAACCACACAAGGGAGATTGGAGAAATGCCATAAATTGAGAGCTTATTTAATAATACATGTTTATCTACCATATCAATCGCCTTGCTTAAATCAAGAAAAATCAAACCACACAATAAGCCAACATCTATATTGCTAAGTAATTGAATTGTCGGAATTTCCGCGAAAGATTACGTTATCGCAACATGCAAATTTAGTCTACTCACCCAAGTCAAATATTTAGACCACTAAGTTATAAATGCAATAATTAGCTAATTAGTGCATGGAATTTCACCAAAATCTAATCAGCACATCTACTCATCATATTTTAGCTGTGTGATCATTATTATTTGAATTGCAATTGTAGATCTCGAGTTATCAGTGGAACAAATTGTAGTCACAGAGTCAGAGTCACAGACACTGGTATCACATACATGTAAGCTCCGTTTCACGGGAGCTGAAAATACAGAAATCAACACAGATGAACTAAACGGCAATGGAGAGGAGAGGGCGATGTGCTCGAGCTTTCTACGGATCGTGAGAGGATACTTTGCGTTTGTGATTACAAGTTATATGACATTGAACTGTACCAACGATCAGCGTAACTGAACAAGTTATCAACCAAGCATTACCTGTAATGCCTATTGGTGAACGTCGCTAACTCTTTTGGTACATTTTCTGACATGTATTTTCTATACACGTAAGCATTGACTATCAATCATAGCGACAAATGCTAATGGTGATGACGTCAAGCCGATCTTCATGATTTTGAATGAAATCCATGACGGTAGGAAGGACGATTATATAACACAAGAAGAAGTGTACCTAGCTGCAGCTGAAATAGTACCTGCTACGAACCTACGATGCATCCAATTTGCAAGAGGTATTTGTAGAATATACTTGAAAGGT